CCGTCAAGATACCCTGGAACCCACTCCCCAGTTCTTACCTCACGTGGCTTTTGAATTGCATTTGAACCAAATCGTTCACCTGCCAGAAGAACTTTTCTACAAACCTCACTCAAATAAAGATGGAGAAAAATTACATTTTGGGACATATGTAGAGCACTTCCATTGTATTTGGACAGGCCTGGATGCTTTAGGAAATCTCCCCGACTTCGTCCAGCACAGAGGGAGAAGGTTAAAGATGAAGATGTTTCACCCCAAGGAATTTCTGTTGGGATCTCATCTGAGTTGGCCAGTAAATATCCCCCTCAGGGAGGCATGGCACATTCGACAAGAGCTCAGTCCACTTTAGTAGCCGCTCTCAGAAATCTCCCACTCATGGACGTTTGTAAAGCGGCAGCTGGTCTTCCCTCCACACAGCACTGTGCCACTGTCGAGGCATCTAAAGAGGCCAAGAGCCTGGCGGGACTGTTCTACATTCGCTGTTTCGCTAGTCTCCCGGTACTCCTCTTCAGCAAGGGTCGTTGTGTGGGAACCGCCAGCAATGGAACGTCTGTGTACAGACGTCACTCAGAGGAGAAGAAATCGTTACGGTGTACAGTGACTGTGGTTCTGTGAGCTGTATTGTCCATGAGTGGGTGTGGGGGGGTGTTTTCCACACCTCACCCCCACTGCTGACCAGAAGTGTCCGTCTCAAGTGCACTGGTGCCTGCCCACCAAGAGGGGACTAGATATATGGCCACAGGGTATGGGTGAGTAACTGGCAGCGTGGGCTGGGTGCAGAGCCAGGTACCGACTCTGGAATAAAGACAGGACAATTAATAATGAAATGAAATGAAATGAAATACATGGTGTTTGATCTGCAGCAAATCTCTGCCCCTGAAGCTTTTGGCTTCCTGTCTGTGTAGGGTGCTGGCAATCACAGACTCGCTGACCTGGAGTGGGGTGCCAGGGGCTCTCAGCTCAGGCGCTGGAGACCTGCTGCTGGGGACTGCATGGTGGGAAGCTAATTTCCAGTCCCCAGGCCCACTGGTGGGGGCTGTGTCTGGGGAGGTTCCTCTCAGGCACCCTGCTGGGGTCCGTCTCTGTCTGGGGAGAGGAGGGTCTTGGAGCTGTGTGTGAGGAATGGCTCGGTGCTGTGGGGACGGCAGGCTCCCCTCTGAGCATGTCCCCAGCCCACAGGGAGATACAATCCTCCCTGCTCCTACCACCAGCAGCCCCCTCCCCCAAGGAAGGAGTGGAGATGGATGCTGCCGTCAGAAGCCGAGTGCCAGCTAATTACCCTTCCAAGTGTGTCTTGTAAATTAAGGGCTAATTAGAGGCAAAGTCAGTGTCATGGTTTTACACGTGTTTCTGTGGCGCTGAACGAGGGGAGGGGAGGGGGAGTGCGCAGGAGCCAGGCCGATCCCTCGCTGTGCGCGCATCGCAGGGGGCAGGGCTCCGGGAACAGCGGCACTGGCACAGGGAGGCTGTGGAGTGGGTCAGACGGGAGCACCGGCCCTAGGGGCACCATGGCTGCAGCTGGCGTGGGCAGGCAGCCGTCGCAGGCAAGGTTTGTGGGTAGTTCCCTGACCTGTGCGCTCAGGGTGGCAGACAGGGAGTTCTGTGGCCACTTCCTCTAAATGAACACTGTGGTGTTTGAATGAAGTAAACATTCTGCAATCCACAGACGCTGGATTTGCTGAACGTCCCGCTGTCCCGGCATCCCTGCGTTTCGAGCTGGGGCAGGCCAGGCCGCTCCGAGCTGCAGTTTCAGGCTGTCTGCAGACGCTTGGGCCGTGTTTCCAAGGTTTCCTTTGGATCCGCGAAGGATTGGAAATGGGATTGGAGGAATGGCAGCTTGGGCGCTGCAACCAGTCCTGTGGCCGTGGGATCGCAGACGGCCTGGGACCTGGCCGGAGCGCAGGGACACCGAACAGCTAGTAGGGCTCAAGCAGAGGATGTATGTATTGAGCCTTGGCCTGGGGAGCAGGTGGGGCTCACAGGTCAGGGTTTGTGCCCAGATCTTGGGGGGCTCAGGGATTATTAAAGAGAGAAGCAGCATAAGAACAGGCACTTCTGCTGCCCCCAAAGGCTCCCCCTTCCTGCCTGCCCTGGCCAGGGGGCAGCCTCCCAGGGTATGTCTGCACTGCTGGGAAACACCGCCGCTGGCCCATGCCAGGGCTATGCAATGGCACTGTAGATGTTTGGGCTCGGGCTGGAGCCCAGGCTCTGGGACCCCCCCGCCCCCCGAATGCCGACACAGCGGTTTCATAGCCCCGCAAGCCCGAGTCAGCTGACCTGTGCCAGCCGCGGGTGTTCTGTTGCAGCGTAGATGTACCCTGGCCCTGGAGGCAGGGCCCCCCTTGGCACTCTCCTGGCAGCAGCTGTCTCTCGAGGACCTGTGCTCTCCTAGATTATAAAGCCAGAAGGAGCCACTCTGATCATGTAGTCTGCCCTCCTCCGTAACACCGGCTGCAGGACTTCCCTGCATGAATACCTGTTTGGACGAGAGCACGTCATGTAGAAATACATCCCAGCTTGATGTGAACATTGCCAGGGATGGAAAATCCACCACAGCCCTTGGGAAGATGGTTCAGTGGTTAATGATTCTCAGTTAAAACTTGCCCCTTATTTCCACTCTGAATTTGTCTAGCTTCAGCTTCCAGCCACTGGATCGTGTTAGATCTTTGTCTGCTAGACTGAACAAGTATTTGTTCCCCAGGTAGGTACTTACAGACTGTGATCAGCTCACCCCCAACCTTCTCTTCCATGGAGTCAGAGAACCACAGGGTCAGAAGGGACCACCAGGGTCATCTAGTCCAGTGTTTCTCAATGACCCCTCCGTGGACCGGTGCCGGTCCCTGAGATCTTCCTGACACGTAGGAAGGCAGCAAGCCTGTCCCTGGTATCAGAAAGGCTGAGAAACACTGGTCTAGTCTGACTCCCTGCCAAGATACAGAATTTGTTGAGTCTTAAGAACATAAGAACATAAGAAAGGCCGTACCGGGTCAGACCAAAGGTCCATCTAGCCCAGTCTCCTGTCTACCGACAGTGGCCAATGCCAGGTGCCCCAGAGGGAGTGAACCTAACAGGTAATGATCAAGTGATCTCTCTCCTGCCATCCATCTCTACCCTCTGGCTGCCCTGAGACTCCTCCCCAGCAGGGAGCGCAGCTGATTGGAGTGTCTCCTGCCGGCAGCTTGGGAACCCGTTAGCCTGATCATTTCTGGTCCTCCCCTTCCTGCATCCACTATCCGGGGCTAGCCCCAAATGCTTTTGGGGACATCAGAAGCACCCTGCAGTGGGCAGATGTGGGCTAGTCTCTCCCGGGACAGGCTGCCCCACCCTTAGTAGCCCTGGTTAAAGCCCTGAAATAGGAGATTTTGGCTCCCTTCCAAAGCCCTGTGTTCAGTATTTACGGAACTCTGGATATTCGTGGGATCAGTAGAAACATCCCATCTCGCCACGAAGCTGCTAAATTCCTGGTATCAGCGACTTCTTGTAGCACCAGGTTCCACCATTTAATCACACGTTGTTTGGAAAAGGATTTCCTTTTCGCGGTTTGCATTTCCCACCATTGAATGTCATAGCACATCCCCTTGTCCTTGGGTTACAAATCAGGGAGAACACGCTCCCGTCTCTAGGCCAGTCATTATTTTATAGGCTTGTCTCACGTCTGCTCTGAGCTAACGATCCCAGTCGTGTCAATCTCTCTTCAAGGGGGTGTTGCCCTTCTCTGAAGCCTTTCATTCTGCTGGGATGTGTTGGCTGGGGAGACGTGTCGTGGGGCCCGACTGGGACTTGTCAGGGGGAGGGGGGAGGAGAACGTGTCGTGGGGCCTGGCTGGGACATGTTGGCTGAGGGGGACGTGTCGTGGGGTCCGGCTGGGACGTGTTGGCTGGGGGGGACATGTTGTGGGGTTCAGCTGGGACCTGTTGGGGTGTCTGGCTGGGACGTGTTGTGGGGGGAAACGTGTTGTGGGGCCCAGATGGGACGTGTTGGGGTGTCTGGCTGGGACGTGTTGTGGGGGGAAACGTGTTGTGGGGCCCAGATGGGACGTGTTGGGGTGTCTGGCTGG